CGAAGCCACGCGTGTCCCGGGGATGGCGGCCCGAGCTCTCTCTTTTCGTGGCGGAGGGTATTCCATGGCGCGAGGTGTTCGTGTCTTGGATTAGAGGGTGCACACCACATCGGCCGAACATTTATGGGCCGGGCCGAAGGTCCACCGGTAACTAAAGAATGGGCCTTGCACGCTCTGGCCCTAGGCGTGATCAAGACGGAGTTCTCCGAAGACTTGACATACACTTCAAGACATATTTGAAAGATTGGCATGTTTATCCCCAAATTATAACAGACTATGTAAACCCTAGATACCTGGTGCCTGTATAAACTGTGGGATTTTGTCCGTAGAGGCACAACTTCAAGGTCTTAGAGCTTAGAACTTATTCATACAATCTCGAGATAGATCATACTATACTTTGTACCCCATCACGATCAATATAACAAGAGCAGGACATAGAGTTTTACCTCTTCAAGAGGGTCCGAACCTGGGGAAACACCGTGTCCCCTTCTTCCTATTACCATTGTTCCTAGATCATCAGCTTGGGACCCCCAACCCAAGATCCGCCGGTTTTAGCGTGGACATTGGTGGCCCATGCAGGTTGTGCCAGATGCTGGAAGATACTTAGTTGTCGAAGTTGATGCTCAAGTTCAGACACTGCCCGGTTTAAGTTCAGTTATTAGGGCCTCTGTTCAAGATCAGATACAAGACACAACATCCCTTGACTCAGTCATTGACATGTGTAGCTTAGCTGTTCTAATAGCTGATGATGTTAGGCTGCCTATTTCTTCCATAATGTGTAAAGTATTCCAAGATGTCTCTTGGAAGAAATGGTGTTTGTTTATCCTTTATGTGGGCCTCAATTCTGAAAACATTTTATTTCTCACTTTTGTTGAAGCATTTTGTGTTCTCCAAGACCAAGCATAAAAATGAGTGGCTCGTATGAACCAGGAGGATGAATACAGGACACATCACACACCACCTTCTCTTTTACGGTCACGGTACCTTCTTTGTGAAGCAATGTTACATAGGTGTAAAGTACTTTAGATTACTGAAAGTTGCTAACAACCGATCACATCTTGTTACGGAGCAAATTGAACTTGATACTAAGCGGTGTAAATCAAGACCACCAGATGGTGCTTGTTAATCAGTCAGCTAGTATTTGTTCAACAGTTTTTGTAGTACAAAACAGAATCGGAATCAGTACCTACAGATTATTAAGCTTGTATAACATCTTTATAAGATAGGTTTCTAATTTCTTTAGGGCTCCCATTGTTTAGTGTTTCTCACTAATGAATGAGTCCAAGTATAACTCTCTGATTTCCCTTCTCTTCAGACCATCCGGCGAACCAAAACCATCCCCACCTTGGTAAACACAATGTGAGATTCGAGCCAGATTCACGCAAGTCTTGGCAAAATATCTAGAAAATTGGCAGTGTTTGAATGCATCTTCGTTAATCGACTTCCAAGCTTCCATGGTAAGATCTTCCATGGCTTCGCGGGACTCTTGCTCACTCGAGCTGTTCTCCGACATGTGAATAGCTATTGATGATGGTGCATCACCTCGCTCCAGCTCTGCCTGTTAAATATCATGAGACACCTCAAATAAAGATTCAATTTTGGGGATGAAATCAAGGGACAAGAAAAAACTGGGATAGATTGTGCCTACAGAGTGGGTTGCAGAGTCGTTGCAGAGGCGAAGGACTAATGACGCGGACTGAACTAATTTAGAGTAGCTTCCAACTTTAGCAAGAGACATTGGGGTAAGCTTTTCTTCCACGTGGAGCAGGGGAAACGCATGTTGCAGCAACAGTGGAGCAGAGGATGAAATTGATCCATTGTCAAGATACTCACGCAGTGTTGGTATGTGGTTTCCATGGTGCCACTTTGCCTCCACCAGGAAAGACTCTGCCATGTCTCGCCACTGCAAAATCATGTAGAATATATTATGGTTCCTTGTGAAAACAATCTATATCCTGTTAGGAAATTAATTGTGTATATGAACTTACTGCTTTCTGAAGAACATAACGAGTGTCACAACCATGTTGTTTAAACACATTTTCAGCCACCTCAGCGGATGTGTTGTACATGACGGAATAGAGTGCTTGCATGTATTCGGGGAGCATTTCACTAGGACTTTCTTCCCATCTGAAATTATGTATTAAGTTTAGATAATAGAAAAGCTTCATTTAATGTGAAACTAACATGTCATATACTCCCTCCGTCCGCGAATAAGTGTACATCTAGCTTTTGTCTTAAGTCAAAGTTTTAAAACTTTGACCACCTTTCTAGAAAAAAGTAAAAGCATTTATGGCATCAAATTAGTATCACTAGATTCGTTTTGAAATGTACGTTGATAACATATCAATTTGATGTTATATATGTCACTACTATTTTCTATAAAGTTGGTCAAAATTTTAAAACTTTTACTTAGAACAAAAGGTAGATGTACACTTATTCAGGGACGGAGGGAGTATATATATTACACATGCAACTCTAGGAAAAGAATATTACTTGAATTATTAAAAGTGCACCGCTGCATATAGTTACCTTCCAATGGCGTCTGTGAAGAGAACAAGTTCATCTAGAGTTCCATACACATCATATACATCATCTAAGTGAACTATAAGATTGGCGACTTTAGCAAGCACTTCCCGACATGCTCCATCATTTGGCCCCCACACAATTCCATTTGCGCAATGGAAGCACTCCATGAGACGATCCCTGGCGAACCCCAATTTTTCACCAAGGCCGGTCCCCTTCCACCACCTACAATTAATTAGGTCAACTTTCATATCTTAAAAACCCATCAACTATGTGCATTAATTAGCTGGCTTATTTAAATGTACGATTCTTCACGCTCAATTACCTCGCCAGTCTCCCAAGTTCTTCCTGATGCAGACTTTGCACATTGTTGAAGTCCATCATTGCAAATCTAACGAGCAACGGGTCGGAATTGCTCTCGTCTCTAGCATAGTGGTCTATGAACCATCTTGCTTCTAGTCTAGGAGACCTCCGGTGTAATGGAAGGTCCAAAGAACGAACTACACTGCGCCGTAAGTGGTGATCCATGGATGGCAAAAGCTTTTTGAGAGATTTCTTGGAAAATGCTCTTGCCTCGTCCAATATTTCCTCACCACCGAACGCAAGGTATGAAGCCTCATAGAGTGAGAGGAGCCCTTTGACATCATCTGATCCACGCTTGAGATCCGCCAGACATTCTATATATATTGTTATGATGAAACAATGTCAGTTGAGTATACAAAACCCTGCCATGCACACAGGTCAAAGTTTCAACTGTGATTGAATCTGGACCATGCATTTGGTGCAGACATGTCTAATTTTCAAAATTTTGGCTGTAGTTTTTGGTTTTTCTTACACCCTCCAAATGTTTGTTTTTCATATTTCATACTACTCCCTCTATAAAAAAATATAAGACCGTTTAGATCACTACTTTAATGATCGCTCTTATATTTCTTTACGGAGGGAGTATTTAACTAGGTACTGTACCTGGAGGGAAGAAGACTGGGAAACCGCCGTCCCTAAGCAACCTAAACCTCAAGGACGCAGAAGCAACATCACTGGCATCGCCGTCCAAACTGCACCGATGAGGCTCGCGGTGGACGGAGCTAAGGATACCGGCGATCTCCTCCTCGAAATGGTAGGCGATGCCGAGCCGTTGCACCGTGTCGACAAGCCCGAGCTTCGCAGCTTGGTTATCGCCCCGGCTCGCTGCCACTAGGCGCTCCCTAACGGCGGCCTTCAATTTATCGACCTGTGCCATCATCCATGCATGCACGGAATAATATCCATAAGTATTTCATCTTGTTTATGTACTACTTGCCGGCAGAGAATATGATATGTTCTGCTGATAAATGTACTTGATCTGCCTGTCCGCCATTGTTGGGCGAGAGCTGGAGTAGGGAGTCGTAATCCCAGGAGCTGGGAGCATAGTTGGCAGACCGCCGAGCGGCCGCCGAGCAGCCCACCATTGCCGGTGACGACGTCCGGAAGCTTGAGTTCGTGGAGGTCATTGTTTGCTGTAATTGCGACGCCATGGTGCTGCGCGTTGCAATCTAGCTAGCTTTTGCTCGGTGCGTAGTAGTGGAGTACTACTTGGCAGTTGGCAGCGAGAGCTAGGCAACGAGGTATGTACTTCTAAG